ATTTCAGCTATAGTTCTGCGCAAATGGCATTCACACTTGCATTTTCGTAGGAAATGCAACTTCTCTAGTTACAAATAACTTTATTTCTGGACATTTATGATTTGATTTCTTTGTATGTATGGATCATTTGGGTTGTTACCGACATCTGGTGAAAATTTGATGTCATTAGCACCTCTAGTAATATATTTACTGAGAAAAATGTTGACGTGTTCAATACTTATTTTTACCTGCTGTACATCTAAATGTACAGTAAATATGTGTTACTGCTGGAGCGAGGCACATTTTAGATAGAAACGTTGTTTTTCTTAAGTAAATGATTACAAAATATAAGATATGAGATTAAATCTATCTGAATTATCAGACTCTTTAAGCTTAYGCAGGTACTCTTTAATTAATTAATTACAGTTTGAAACTGTGTATGTAAATTGTCTTGTTAACAAATGAAACCCACCCCTCACTCCCTGCCCCCAGGATAAAATCAGTTCTTCAAACAGATGGCTGAGCAACACAAGTCTTTCTGCAAGCTTTCAGCTCGTGGGCCGAAGGTTAGCAGGAAGATTAATGGAGTTTCTCTACCTGGTGCAGATCTACCTGATGGTTTTCCTGACAGAGTTTGACTTCCAGTTAAATGGAGCACTGCTCTGTGAGCAAACAGAGAGCTGGCTGGGAATTATTTCTCCTCATCCTTTTAGGGAAATGCGACGAAAACAGACTAAATTCTTCATGTTTCTCATTAAAACTTTGATGTTTTGAACTCAAGCCGATTAAAAATGGCAGCCGCGTCTAACTGAGCTTTTTGTCGTTGCTTCAACTTTTCTTATTTATTTATCGTTCAGCAGAATTTCTGCTTTTCAGCGTTCACACCTTGATTTTTTGTCAGCATCGGCTTGCTTTTTGTGTTTTTATTTTCCTTGTCTTTATATGTTTGAAGCATCCTTAAACCTTACAGTTTTTGTTAGTTGAAGGTCATTCTGCATGTTTCTTGTGTTCAACCTTTTTCCTGAAATAAACTGTGAAAGTTGAAAAAAATATGAAAAGAAACAAAATCAAATGAAGTAACCAAGGTTTGATTTTATTGCGAGTCTTCACTCATTCATGCATTCATTCAGGTTTATTTGACGGGGATGAATACATCACATACATGTGAATCACTACTAAAATAAGAACAGCATTTGAAGCAAAAATATTAATAATTTAGAAAATGCTAATTTGCAGCATTTTTCCCTGGAAGGATTTATTTCTTGCAAAAAGTAATTAACAAAAATAATTGTGTCAGTCCGGCATGAGGATGTTATTTCAACAGTGCAGAAAATCATCAACATGAGAGGAAAAAAATGTTCTTTTGAGGAGACAATAAATCGTGCAATTCTGTCACTTTATGATGCAAGACAACAGTTCAAAATATAAAACATGTGCTGCAAAATGTGAGAATTAAATATATTTTACCTATTTCTGCAGGCTCATTTTAAAACCTACGGTGCGGCACGAGGGTCCAAAATTAGGACTATTGTACAACCAGCGGTTGCATCYTTGTAGCAGGAGGCTATATCTAATCCTAAACCAGCTATTGATCTGATTAATGATAGGCCGGCACCGCTAACTGAGAGGTCAGCGCTGGTAAATGAGAAGGAGACTATTCATTTACCTTAGCATTGGAGAGGCTAGTGGCAGCTGGCATTAGCATTGGAGAGGCTAGCGACTAGCATGGATAATCTGGCATTAGCATTGGAGAATCTAGCATTAGCATTGGAGAGGCTAGCGACTAGCATGGATAAGCTGGCGTTAGCAATGGAGAGGCTAGTGACTAGCATGGATAAGCTGGCGTTAGCAA